TTCACATTTTGTACATTCTTGAACTGTGCTGGGGGGAATTTGTGAGATTGATTTGATTTATAGGTGGTGGTGGTGGTGGTGAAGAAGAAGAAGAAAATGAAGAAGGGTGTGAGGAAATGGGTACTATATTTATATAAGTTTTCAATTTGAAATAAATTTTGAGATTTTTACCTCATTTCATTTGATTTTCAGAATCCTTTGCTTACGTTTGCTGGAAATTGACATGTTTTCTAATTTCCTTTACGTGCGTGATCGTCTTTGTTGCTGTCCAAACTTTGTAGCTACTCAAAAGGGATAGTTCGTTTTTCACTGTTTTGATCTACGGTAAAAAACCATGAAAAACCTTAGTCGAGTACAATTTATTCGACACTATAAATGACAATTATTGAGTGAGAGACTCTTTGTTGCTCAATGATCTTGATTGCAATATTAAATTTGCTACCAAACTAGGATAACGTGCAGCCATTACCCGTTTGCCAGACCAATCAAAGGTAATAAATAAAAATAAAGAAGCCTTGATGAAGAAAAAAAAAAATATTGTTGATCTGTGACAACCAAGTAAGTTATACTCATCACCTGCTAATAAAAGCATGCAAATGAGTTGTCCCAACATGATTTACAGAGCAAGCAAGTGTTCTCAAAGTCTCAACCACCAAAACAAATAGTATTTTCAACTAAGTTTATGAGACAAAAATAGTTGATTTTAATGATACAAATAAACACTATTTATCACATGCCTAAGTAGATGAATCGAAAGTAGGCCCGAAATCGTTTATCTTCATGCTGTCATTCGAAAATGCAGCAAGTGGAGACATGTTAACTAACCATATTATTGCTACCGAAATCGTTTTTTTATGTAGACTGAGAAGCAAGTTGAACCCAAGCAAATTCCTCCTTGTAACTCACAGGGCCTTCACACGAGGCCTCACATGTGTAGACAGCAATCGTGGCCCAATCGAGAGAATTTTCTTCATCTTGCACATGGAAAAAATACAATAGCTGGGGCAAGACCTGAAATGACAAAATACCAATAACAGAATTAAAAAACTCCTTCACCTTTTGAAGAAGCGTTTACTTTTGATTCTGATTAGGACGAGGCTTATGGTTGTTTTTGTGCAGTTCAAATATCAAGATTTTAATAGGTGGATTTTATATTTTCACCAAAATTATATATATAAAAAAAGGAATTCAAAAAACACGATTTTCAAAAAAATTAACCTGGAGATTAGCAAGTGTATATGTTTTTTTTTTTTCGATTTTTCAAATACTAGATTAAACCTCACCTGAAATTCAAAAACACGATTGCCACCACAGTAGTTACACTTGGGAATATCAAATTTTGATGGTCTACCACTTGAGACGGGCCACAACGGCTTCGCCTGAGCAGATCTGGAGTACCTGCTTGCAAAAGAAAATATATTTGAATTAGTATATTTGTTACTATATGCTGTGGAATCATTTCAAACATAAGGCTAGCAGGAACAGAAATGCAGACTCTCTTTATTTCTTTCAAAGAGCATACTCCATATTATCACCTCACAACTTGGTCGGGGGCCAAAGATATGCTCTCCTGGAAAGAGGCCCAGCTTCGGTTGTCACCATGTCCCTATTTTCAACAATTAAAAAAAATAAAATGAATTCTATAAATATATTTATTGTGCTGGAAAAATCTAGAATCGCCGAGGTTATTTGTCAAACTACCCAAATAAGAAACTTACATTGAAATAAGTTTGCAACTGACCAAGAGAATCATCAGCACGGCTTCTAGAAATCAATGGACTAACAGATCCATCATCGTTAGACGCCTCGTCTTCTAACTCACACTCCTCCACATTCGTGATCTCGTATTCTGGCCAGAGGGAATTACTTGCAGCTGTTTGCCGATAAAATAGTTCAATCAATATACAACAGAAAATATGTTAGCATCACAAACTGATACATGGCACTCGGACAAAAATAGTTCAATCTCTCTCTCTTTTTTTTTGTTTGAATTTTGTTAGAATTTATTGTTTTTTAATTTCGTTTCGCCTTATCAGTTAAATCAAAAAAGTGAATCCTTCCTTTAATCAAAGAATTTCATTATATCCCCTCTAAGCATTCGATTTCATCTGAGATTTCATAAGGATAAAATAAGGCAAAAACCCCTTCTTGTAAAACTGCTACCTGATACGGATTCTTCTCTAGATGTCTCCAATTGTCGACAAAGAATTCTGTGGCTGGAGCTAGTGGACCTCCAATGAGCAGCCTATAAATTGTGATAACTCCATTCATTAAGTGAAAAACAATTTACAACAACAACAACAACAACAACAACAACATACCCAGTATATTCCCAACAGGTTGGGGTCTGGGGGGTCAATTGTACGCAGACCTTACCCTTGTAATTATACAAGGAGGCTGTTTCCGTAGCGACCGAAGGTGCATTGCGCCGTTTGATATATATATATTTTTTTTCTAGAAACTTCACTAATAGAAGAAGCACTAGAATTTAATTAAGCCATTTTGATCTAGTCCATTATTAGCACTATGCCAGGAGAATTGTCAACAATGACTCTTCCAGCACCATTTGCAATGGACAGATTAAGTGAAAAAAAAATTATTTTCCTCAATTTCAATAAAAAGTTTTTCAAAACACCTGGTGTTGCGTAGAACAGTAACGTGCTCTCTTACAGCTACCACAAATCTTGTCCCCTTTCCACGTACCACACCAGTTGCAGAGTAATGCTGAAACAGATAACAAAGCTATTACACATGTAAACTTCCATAACTGCAGCTAATAAAGCTAATACTTTCATGCTGAAACAGGTAACAAAGGTATTACACAAAGGTATTTATTACACATGGAAACAGATAACAACGCTAACACTCTCATTTTTTCTTCTTTTCCACATAGTACAGGTTAAATTGAAAATTTTAAACATTTTTTTTTTTTGGCTGTCTCACTACCTCCGGCTGACAAGGGTTGCTCACTACCATCTTCCGCAGGTGGCTTACTCGAGTAAAACGAATTCACTAGCGGCAATTGGCACCGAAAAACCTTGACACTTTAATACCATTTGGAAAACAGAACAGAAAACATGCCAATCAGATAAAAGTACAAGTATCTGCAAGATAACGAATTTCAAGACTCACGAAAATCGATAAAAAAATATGTACCTTCTGGAGGGAATCTCTGGATGACGCCTCCACTGTTCATGCTGATCACGTAGAAGACAGGTCATTGATGTACACATGAAAACGAACAATGTACGGTGAAATGTCGAGTCCTCCTCAGACAAAGGTGCATAAACCTACAATCAAAATAACCAAGGGAAAAATATTTCTGAAGAGTGCTATTTCAATTCCAAGCACCTCTGCATTCGACAGAAGATCGATCAAATTCAAGTTTTCAAAAATTAATCAATTTACTCCCTTATCACCACACCTGGAGCAGAGACTGCAAAGGGTCACCACAGAAATCACAAAGGCTGGACTTCCCTGAAGGCAAATGTATAGGATCCAACCATGCCTATATAATTAGAAAAAAGAATCTATATAATCAAGCAGTCATTGAAAAAAAAAAAATAAGCATTGATAGTAATAAATCCCAGCTCTCTTCACTAGATATATTATTAGGACAATTCTATAAAACAAGGTATAGCACTGAAGTATTGAATAAAATTATTCAGACAGGTCAAAAGCTTATAGATCGCGAAATTCGCCATTAATGCCGGTACAATTACCGGAAAGCCACCAGCTTTGCTAGGGAAATACTGACGGAGCAATGCCCATGAGTTCTTTGGCTTCTCCGGAAGCCCCAACGTCACCGGTAATCGATCGTCTTCGTCGTCCTCGTCGCTGACGTCATCTCGGACGCCGTCGTTTTGGGGCTCGTCTTCATCCACATCATAGTCGAGGGGTGATATTTGCAGAGATTCGAGGCTCTTGCCATTGGCAACATCATCCATTTCTCTCGAATTGCGGGGCATACTTCAGCTTCAGGTTATCCGGTAAAAATGCTGTAGCTAGGGTTTGGGGTTTTAGCCTTTTAGGACATTTTTTATATTTATCCTTTTCCTTTTTAAGGCTTTGTACATGTCAAGTTGTCAACACTTAGAATAAGCTCAAGTATGACCTCCTTCACCTACACAAAATGGCTCATTCGCTATATATTTACATGTAAGTTTTTTTTTATTATTTATAAATATACTAATTTCAGCATTTATGAATAGTTAATTTATGATTTGTATTTATTATTAATTTTGAAATTATATTTTTTATAACTCATTTACTAAATGTATGTTTATAATTTTAATTTAAAATTCGTATTACAAGAATCTTAAAAATATATCAATTATTCATTTAGTAATTTCATATCAACTAACCTAGTTTTTTTTTCCCTCGGTTTTAGTTTTCAATATTATGCAATTTTTCTTGGGAAACCAATTTATAATTGCATTAAAAAAAAAAAATTATTGAAATTAATGAAAGACCACTGCCTTACTGCTAAACATGCCCCGTAATTTAATTTTCATCAAAATTAAAACATGTGCTGTAAGACCTGGAATAAGATCAACCAATTGGCATGCGATCCATATGCACACACAACCACTCACAAGAATTCTTTATGAATTATGTACATATAAATCAATATAATTCTTCACGCATAAAATCACCTCAAAACAAAAGGAGAGCAATCACAAATAATACATGTGGCCCATTTTCACAACAGAGAGTTAAAGAGAAAAAGAATCAGAAACTGACCACATTTTACAGAATAAGAGCAACTGGAATAATTGCTTTGAGAACTCTACATTTGTGAAAAAAGGGGGGAAAAAATGAAAAAGAAAATAACTCTACACATCAACATTTCATCACTCTAAGTTTGCCTTTTCAAGAGGATAAAAAAAATTAAAATGTGAAAGAAATATAAGAATCTCAGCCAGCCACTTCTACTTTCTAGACCCCATTTTACGCTTTATCACACCAATCGGCTTTGTGATCCTCTGCGAAGCATGGCCTTGGCTGGCCCCACTGATCGCTTTTCTTAATGGCGATGGGCCTAGTTTTGGAATCATGCTCCTGCCGCAAGTTAGCAAAAACCGACATTAGTACTTAAAAATTTAAAATGTCACTAATTTGTGTTATTAGATGTGTGTTTTTGAAAGGTATGTGTACACAGTTCGTGTTAAGTGTCATGGAAAAAAGTACCTAAGCTCTGGGCTTCTTGTTTGTTTTGCAAGAGCTTTCTCCACCTTTGGACCAATGCTGTTAATAATAAGCTTAGAATTGTTGTTTAACTGCCAAAGCAAATCCGACTCAGAAGAATCACTATTTCCGGCATCAAGCTCGTCCGAATCATCAGCAGCCTTAATAACACCAAACTGATTATTCACAGAAAATAGGCCGTTGGGCTTCTTCTCAGGGAGAATATACTTTGATGAATATTCCAATAAGCATTTCTGATTAAAGGGGCTCTCATCAGCTCCATTTGGATTATTTTCTTGCTTGTTCACCATGAGCTTGTCGACCCACTCGCCTGGGCCCACTTCTCTATCTTCTTCAACTGTATTGTTCTGGTCAAGGGTAACAAGTGGCGGCCAGGTAGGCGAGTTCCCGAGCAGCACATCAAGGTCCATGTTTTGATTCTTTTGCCTCAATGCAGTATTATTGCTTCTAACCTGTATACAAATCAAATAAGTCGAATGGGGTCTTCTTTTTGGCAAATATCTGAAGAAGGGCAGTGATATTGTGTTGAATTAAGATAAATAAAAATTGAACAGAATGATTTGCCTTATTATTTGAACTTAAACAAAAGATTATGATTTTTTCGTTTACCTCAATGTTGCCTACATCTTCCATCGGTTTTCTCAGGCCATTTGGTGAAATCAAGGCTGTGTTGTTTTTAGGTTGAAAAGGTGAAGGCTGCATGTTGTTACATGGACTGCCACCTGGCTTCTGCTGAATCGCAACTGGTTCGCCATCTCTCCTTGCTAATGCTGCCTTGAGGCTGGCAATCTATCATCATCATCCATAATATACTAAAAATTGAGCTCCGAACAGAGTCGTTAAAAATAATGCGTGTTATTAAAGCAAAGTGTACGAACCTGCTCTTTGAGTTCTTTAACATCCGATGAATCCTTATTCACTCGTGCGGCACCAAGTTCTACAGTCGCCACACGTTCGGCAAATTTAAGTGTGCTAATTGTCTCCCCAATGGCATCAGGTTCAGGGCTTATATGAACAAACATCAGTGTTTTAGCTTGCCCTCCTGTACCAACAAATGGCAAATAAAAGCTATAAACAATTACTATAATTTGTCGAATAAAAGCTGAACTGAATCAGACTTATAAAGTTTATGCAGAATCAGAAGTGGAAGTTGAAATTTGAAAAGATTTAAACAAAAAGCCAATAATAACAAGTCTCCTTTTTTCAGTTATTATAAAAAACCATTATGCTTACCAAGTGAATCTTGCAGCAATTGAGTGAGTTTGCTATTTCTGTAAGGGACATGTGAATTCTTCTGGGCAAGGGAGGATATGACATCACCCAAGGCAGAAAGTGACTTGTTAATATGCTGAGCCTCTTTTAGCCTGTCCCCTGTGACTTCCGATTTGTCGACTCTCTCACTTCCGGCCAAATCAACAAGATGCATGCAACCTCGAAGAACATTTCCGGTAGTTAAATCCTTTCCTTGGACATGAACAGTTAAACAACTGCAACAAAAAAACGAAGTTCAGTCGAAAAGTCACTTTCGAAGCATGGATTTTTTTAAATTAAATAAACACACACACCTGTGAGATCGACTACTGCGGTCATTGAGTGCTGTTGCACCTACTGCTCGATTTCTTTGGCCGACATTCATTAAATCAATAACATCGGATGTTGAGGACACATTGATCAAACTTGCATCTGGTACACTCAGTCCTGTTTGAGAACTATTTCGAATTTCCAATGTATGTATTAGTCAAGGAACACCCTTTACAAAAAAGTTTTAATACAATAATGGCCATAGAGTTAACAAGTTATAGGGAAAATCCATAAAATCAGTATTAACAAATATTTAAACTTTCTGGTGACATGACGGTCGGAATGTAAGGAAATATTATTTAATTTTTATGAGTTTATGGAGAAATGGAATGAGAAAGGATATCTTTTGGTCAAGCCATCTGTAGTGAGAAGATCCCTGACTTGTTCATTGTAAATCTCGATCATCTGAACCGAGACGTCATACAAGAAGGTGTGCTGCCTCTGCTCGGCAAGGAGAAACAAATCACTTAAAGCCCTGTAATTAACCCCTTGACTATGCTCAGTGAGATCCCTTGGTCCAGTCTGGATAAAAGTACAAAAATAAATAAATATTAGCACTAATTCTGGCGTACTAAATCGAAACAAGCACGTTTGTTTCGAACTTACCATAGTGTACGTTTTGCCCGATCCTGTTTGACCATAGGCAAAAATGCAAACGTTATAACCATCAAGGACCGATCTTACTAGTGGTCGGGTGTCTGAAAATACCTCCTCTGTGAGAATAAAAACATAAGCTGAGTATCTCTTCATTTTTTTGGTTGAACACCTCAGATATAAAAGTCCTGAGCTAATGATCTAACCTTGTGTAGCAGAAGGGCCGAACACTTTGTTGAAGTTGAAACATTTTTGCCCTTTACCATTTTTTGCTAATGTGTTTATCATTATAGTTCCTTCTTCAATATGGTCCACTGTACTCAAGCGATTAAATTGTCCTGACAAGAATGGTCTGACACGGCAATACACTCTTATGTTGCCTGATTGAATTCAAAGATTAAACCATCAGTTTTACTTGAAAATCAAGATGGAGGGATCAGGAGAACAAAAATAAGAGCATATTTACAATATTACAAGAATTGTACCTTTTAAGTCCTGGACTTGATTATAAAGCTTCCGATTTTCCTCAAGAACTCTGTGATAACTGGAAGCAGCGTGAGCTAGTCCATGAACATGGATGCCTGTACAATAAAAAGAAACAGACAGAATTGAAAGGAAGCAAACAGAAACGCTTGATCGGAATATAACCATATGAATATATGCCACAAATTTAAAATTTCGTACCAAGATTGTTAACTTCTTCATGGAATTTCATTTGCATGTACTGCATGCCCGATTTTGTGGTAGAAAGTGCTTGCTTGAGCACCTAACCCATCCATCAAGATAAAGCAGTTCAAATCACCCAAGAGATAGAGGGAATTTTCAAAGATGTGTGCAGTATAACTACTTCAATCTGATCAATACCTCAATGTCTTTCTGTTGTTGGTCGACAATCGTTTGCTGCTTCATGAATCTACCCTCGGATTCTTTATCAAAAATTTGGTTCTTCTGTGATATCTGGTCTCTGTTTGCAACTGCAGCACTATGTCCTTCGATCTAATTTTGAAAAGCATGTGTCAGTGAAGCAGACACTCGTGGATAGGTTTTATCATTTTGTAAAAAGAGTTTGCTTCAGATTTTAAAGGCAAAAGATTACCTGCACATCATGTGTTGCAGGCTTTAACACAGATTTGTTGCCACTAGAAATATTGGAATCTCTTAAATCATTAGCCTTTTTCTGTTAGAAACAAACAAGCACCATTTATATAAATGAATTCAATGAAACTTATGTTAAACAATTCACAAATAAGAAATGCCAACTAATATTTGCACAACAGTTTAAGCACCATATGCTAAATAAAGTGATTTACAGTAGAAAAAAGGTTCATATAGGGTAGGGTGTTAAGAAAAACAAACCAAATCAAGTTTGTTAGAAACGTGATGTTCGAACTCCTCCATGACCTTACTCAGTAATGACTCAACAAGCTGCAACAACAACAACAACAACAACAACATAGCCTTTAGTCTCAAGCAAGTCGGGGTAGGCTAGAGATGAAACCCAAGAGAAACAAAAAATAACAGCTCAAAATCAAAAGTGATCGGTAACATATCTGTAGATCTCAAGTCTAGATATACTACTAAATATCGAGAAGAAACAAAAACATATCTGTAGGGAATATAGCATGTAATTGAAGCTAGTAGTCAAAAGTTTCATGAACCAAGAAAGATCAAAATATTGGAAATGTGAATATCATACATTTGGAACTTCGTCCGGCTTTCTATCTGATAGAATTGCTCGCACAAGCACGCTCAAGGAAGAACTAGGCTGCAAAAATAATTTTTTAATAAAAAGATAAGAATAAATAAAAGTAACTATACGTACTGCAGGTAGGTACTTAAGCACACTAAACTGGACACTTCAATCAACAGCTTATGTACCGTTCTGTTTGAATCTTTGTTAGGACATATTCCATTCAAGGACTTCTCATTTGCGGACACGGTCCTAGAAAGAGAATTCATGAACGGCTCCGAATTTTTGCGAACAAACTGTTTTCCTGATGTTGAGGGTTTCAGATTCCCGCCAAATTTCCAGACTCCATTTCCTCCTGCCTGTCTCCATTCATAATAGGACTTAAGTGCCAACACACAGTTCACTACCCTTGAAGACTTTCCTCCCTGCCAAATATAATAAAATAAAATTCGGCAATTGTGACGTCTTAAATTGAACAGTTCAATGTACGATAAAGCGAATGAATCTTCCCAGTTCAATGAAACATCTATTTAGTTTTAGACTATTCAAAATTCTGAATCATGTTTTGAGACACAATTTTTTTATTAAATGCTGTCACAGATATATATTTTCAAAGTTTTAGAAACCATGATGAAATCTCCACACCAACTGACTTCAAAACATGTCAGACCTAACCCTTTCTTATTGTACACTATTCAAAATCTTCAAGAGTTAATCAATCAATGCTAAACATCAATGCCGACCTGCTCGAGATCAGAAGCCTCAAAAGTAGGTATACCCATCTCTTCCATGGCTACAAGGAAATTTCTCACATTTTCAAAGTACTGATATGCTGACAATGCAGCCCCATCTGGTAAAAGTGCTGAATCACATGGACTTTCAACTACCTGCAAAACATAATACACTAAAATCAATCTGGAGTGACAATTAAGGCTGCTTAGTGCTCCCCCTAATAATTACATGTATAATAATCGTTCTACCAATTTCAAAAAGAGAAAAGAACAGCTCGATCATAAGAAAAGGAATGCATGTTGGTTGTTACCGACCTTTAGCACAGCTCCTTGCTGAATTTTATTGAGTGCATTGCATAGAACTATTCCACTCCTTAATCCAAGCCTAAATTCTTCCTCCGAAGGTTCAGCCGGTAAATCCTTTGCACCCACTACTCCCACTAATTTTCTCAACCAAGCAGCTGCTTCATATCTTCTCAATGCTGTATATAAAGAGATTGACTTTATAAGAACATAAAATG